GGCTGAACCACAGGAATTGCTTTGGCTTATTTGACAGAGAACCAAAATCAAATTGGACTTTGGAGTCAAAGCTGTGAAATTCACGGGTATTAGTTGCTGATTTAAAGGTAACACCTGCCTTCCAGCTCTTGTTCTGTGTGGTGCTTATTACAATGAACAGAATGACTCTGATAACTGAATGTGGATGCCACCAAAAATGTGGGAGCTACCAGGCAGATCTTGCTGGATTTTCAAGGAGAGTCTCCCCTTTTTTGGTCTAAAAGTACAGCTGAGTATTAATAATGTACTAATATGCAATTCTGAAGAGCATGTAAGAGCTGGAGATCAGAGGTAAATTATCACTTTGAGGAAAGAAACGGTGGCAATACTTGAAAGACTGTTCATAATGTGACTAGTGAAAGGATTCTTTTGTTTCAACTTGGAGCTTTCCCCTTTTGAACCTTATTTATTTAATTAGAATGGGAAAACTATCTCAGGGGATAGCTACTCTTAAAGAAACTTGATAGATTTCTGAGGTTGATGCATTTTCCTAGTAAATTCTTAGTGATGATTTTTTAAAGACTGTTTTTTTGCGTTCAACGCCCCCCAGTAAATCTGCAGAAGAAACCCCGCAAATCTGCAGACAATAACATTTTTAATAGGGCTGGTATTTCAAATTTACTACATCTCTCTTAAAAACTGATGGTTGTTTGGAACTTCAGCAACTCTGGACTTGTCCTGTCCTACCTAATTATTAATTGAAATTGTGTATTACTGTAAGTGAAGGACTGCATGAAAATGATTTTAAGAGAAAAAAAAACATGTAACTTGGTGGGTAGCAGGGGTATTCTTCCCTGACTTGCCTAACAAGAATGCTTCTAACAATATCCAAAGTCCTTTTGTGCTTTAAGGAAGAAAAACTTCTTCTTTTAATAGCTGATTATTTTATGCTTGGCTAAAAAAATATTACAAATACAAGTGCACTGGCATAACAAACATTTCTACTGCTTCTAAACAGGACAGTTGTTACACAAAGTGGATTATCTCAGTTAGCCTTTCTTTTTATTTCATCTTTATGAGTTATCATTTGTGACAATCAGCCATTTTCAGAACGACTGCTCTTGAATATCATGTTTGATGACACTATTTACACACTAACTTAGGTCTTCAAATATTGCACTCTCTCAAGTCCGTCAGTAGCACTGACATTTACATGATATGACAGCAAAAATACTGGAAATAGGGTTAGTATTTAATTATTACTGTTAATATTTGTGCAGCAGCAGCACATCTAGAAAAATTTGGGGTTGGAGGGGCCTTTGTAAAATGCTTCTGACAGTTTGTTACTCTGTAACCTCAGAAAACTGGGATTTTTCTCCTTTTTTTTTCTTTAGTATCTTTACAATGGGTTCAAAAGGGATAACAAAATAGTTATTAAGAGATAACAAATAGGTAACTTCATAGTCAGTTTTAATGATGTGCTTATAGGATTTAAGTAAGCATAATAGGTGGTCAAAGACATGGATGAGAAAAGTATGAATAACCTAATATTTCCTTAACCAGTTTTCTGTTTCTCATCAGTAAGAACAGGCTTTGCAAACAGCAGCTCTTACTGAACAGCCTTGTGGTGATGCCTGTTCCACAAACAACTTCCAAAAAAATTTCAGGCAACTCTGCAAAAACACATATTTTTGTTAAGAAGAAATGCAATAATTGAAGTGAGACACGTACCTGTGTTGAAATTTATTCTATACCCATAAACTCATTCTGGTATTGTCCCGGTGTTACTAGTTTTGAACTGAACTGATGTCTACTTGAGGAATAGTAATAAATTTTCTTAATGCTGTAAAAATCTCAGATTTTAAAAAGGCTTTAAATTTAAACAGAAGTGTGATACAAACTACAGAGGTTAACTATTTCAGAATAAAATATTAGTCCAATTTTTATCTTTCTGTGGGAGTCAGGATAATGACTGGTTAATTTAAGACAAAGAAAACAGTATTTTATTTTATAAAAATAAAGCACTATTTCTGTGCTGTCAAGAGGTCATACGGCAGAGAACAGTCCATCTCTTTAACAGAAGAACATTAACTTTTTGAAAAGCTATGAATGCTGACAGAGAAGGTACTGTTATCCTTACTTGCAGACTGCAGTGATGCATACATAAGGACATGCAGTAGGCTGAATCTTGGATTTTTCCAAATGATTGTGAAACATTCCTTAAATCTTAGTACACTTGCACTTGCATAAGCAAACTAGCAAATTAAGGCACAAACTCTGTGTACTACTTAGAAGCATACAAACTAACAAGAATGTTTCCTATTGCTCTTAAAAAGTATCTCTGGGCTACCTGAAGTACAGAATTATGTAAATATATCCAGTACACTTATAATAGTTTTAATTTATGCCACCAAATTTTCCAAGCACTATATCTTCTTGGATGTATCTATATATATGCTTCCTTAGTTCCAAGAAAAAAAATCACTTAAGAAATGCAAGAAGCACTCACCATTCCTGACAGTACCACCTCAAATACAGGTGACGTGCTCCCACACAACCATTCACTGCTGTATTTGGACACTAACTCCTATGTAACAGACAAACTCTTCTAGACTACACAGATTTTGGTCACACATAGCCCTAAATCACCACTCAGAACTACTGTAAATATACCTTAGAGAGCAAAAATTATTTGGACAATAGGAAAGCCACCTTAACAGAAATAAAAATGTAATGTAGCCACTGACTTCACTACACCTCAATCCCACTGTAACACTAAAATATAGGGCTAATTAACATTCCAGATGCTGTGTTACTTATCATCCCTGTTTCTTACTTGCAGTAGCAGCAACTGGTATCCCTTGATCTGAAAAAAATGCAGTAAATTCTTAGAAAAACTTTAAGCACCTTAATGCTGGAACTCAGACTGGGATACTGTCTGTAACGTATTTCTAGTTCCATGTAGAGCCATAGAAAATAATTCTAGCTGTAAAGAGGACCCAGAGTCAGAGTAACAAACTGTGCATTTCCTCCCTCCCCTTTCTAGTAAGCTTTTATTCTTTCTGGCTTTTTTTTTTTTTTTTTTTTAATACATATACATATATATATACACACACACACACAAAAACACAAGGTTTCAATTCCTGGTGAAATTAAACCTTGTTTATCCCCAATCTTTTGAAATATGATTGCAATCATGTAAGAAAAATAGAAAGTTAGTATTTCTACTCTGCTGTTCCCAGCCTATCAGAGGCTTTAAACATGCTTCTTTACTTTTGGTTGCTTGAACAACTTCCTCATGCCATACAGAAGTAGTATTTTGCTTTGGACAATGTGATGGAATGCACTTTTGTTTAACAATCTTTTGCAGGCTCCAGCTGCATTCTGAGAATTTTTACCAATTTAAGAGAAAAAATCAGGATTAAAAAGGAAATCTAGGAAAATTCTTGAACTCCTCTAAGATCAATGATGCTTTTTATCTGCTGTTACCATTAGTAAACCTCTTTTTCTTGGCCTAATGCTTTTACATATCCTTTGGAAGGCAGATGATTTGCAGTATTTCTTAACATACTTAATATTGGTCTTTTGTTTCTTAAGGAAACATAGGTCACTGTGTAAGAGACATATTACTGAATTCTGATGGCTTTGTAGGAAGAAAAAAAAGGCATGGCTTAAGTAAATCACATAAAAAGTTTGAAGTATTTGTATAGTATGGTAATAAATGCACAAGGAATTCAACCTTTACAGAGAAAATTCTGGATTTTACCGTTCAGTAAGCACATTTGCATCCAGAATCTGACTGATCTTCATCCTTAAAACAAAGTATCACTTACAAACCATCGGCTGCAGAAAGAATTTTAAAAAATATAAAAGTTTCTGGTTGAAATACTTGTCAAAAAATGTCTTCGGTTGTAAGGCCAGCATGTATGGCAGTCACTACATTAGAGTGATGACATACACGACAGGACAGCAGAGTGAGAACACAGCTTAAGGTAGAAAAACTCTGAAAAATGTAACTAGCAGTTACTTGCTGTAAAACAGATAGAAGCCACAGTCCCTTAAATTTATAGTATGTGCTTTCCTATGTACATGTAGCCTAAATTACAGTATTACTGTAACTGGATATATAGCATTTCGCAGTATGTATCTTTAATGCAGGTGTAGACATCACTCGAGATGGTACACAGGAATATAAAAAACCCAGTTAATTTCAACATAATCCTAGAAGAATATTGCAAATAATGTTGGATAAATGCATAGTGTTTGAAGGGAAAAATTACTTCACTGGAAAATAAAGTCCCACACATTGAGTTTGGCACTTGTTTGTCACTATGTCACTTTCTTTTTGATTGAAGATAGCTCTTTCTGAATCTCACTGAATTTTGGTCGGTTTTCTGGCTTGTAGTCCCAGCACCTCTGCATTATTTTGTATATTTCTTCAGGACATTTTTGTGGTGCAGACATTCGGTAGCCTGGTACAAAAAAAAAAAAACAGGGAAAATGTTAAGCACTGAAAACCGATACTGCATATTTGTGTACTGACAACTCTAATAAGAAACAAGCAAAGTTCAAGATCCATGCCTTAAAAAAGATCTTCAGGGCAATACGAGGAAAGTCTTCAATATATAACCTATATGTGATAGGTAATTATGAAAGCAATTAAAGCTCAGGTACCAGTGACATTTAGGTTGTTCGTGGTAAGTTGTCAGTGTGCTTCTCAGCCCTAAGTCAGAAACCTGCAAAGATTTATTTACTATACCTTATGAAGGAGCTTGCCTCTAGTTTTCAACTGTGCTCCCTTTTTCTCCTCATAGTTAGGAAATCAATAATAAAATGTTTATTATTGATGGGAGTAAATTTCTTAGCTCTTTTTGAAAATGGATGTTATTCTCATGCCTCTTCCCTTTTTTAAGAAGTTCCCTCCCCATTTGCACTTCTGTCATTTATGTTTCTTTCCTCCTGTTTTCTTAACTTTTTTATCTTCCCAACATTTAAGACTCTTTCTCTTCTTGTTTGCTTAGATAGGTAGTGGCCTTCCACTCCTCTCTGCTGCCATCAGCTGAGGGAATTCTCTGACTTGGTGATGAGCACAAAAATGGACAATTCGTTAAGCAAATTAGCAGCTAATCATTCAAAAGTCACAGGTAAGTGCCCATTTAAGAATATCATCAATACCTTGGACCAAAGAGGTGTACTCACAGCAAGGAAGACAACTTCCCAATGAGTACGAAGTTGGGACAAAATGCCAGGAGGAATGTATGGATAAACAAAAAGTTCCTGGACAAATTCAAATACAAAATTAGGTAATGGGAGGAACAGAGAAACCTGTCTGAGGATGAAAAATGTCTGAGGATCCAGAGATGAAGTTAAGAAGGACAAAGCCCACATGGGATGGAATCTGGCCAGGGGTGTCAAGACAACAAACAGGGTTTCTGTATGTAGGTGACAAAAGGAAGGCTAGGAAAAAAAATGTGTGCCCACTGCTGAACGAGGTACAGCACTCAGCAACACAGGACACGGAGAAGGCTGAGGCACTGAATGCTTTCCTCACCTCAGTCCTTGCTAGCAAGACCACCCTTCAGGAATCTCAAGCCCCACAGATCAGGTGGAAAGGCTGGAGCAAGGAAGATGTGGTGGAAGAGGACTTGGTCAGGGAATACTAAATAAACTGGCCCTGATGGGATGCACCCATGGGTGCTGAGGTAGTTGGCTGATGTCACTGCAAGGCCACTCCCAATCATCTTTCATCCATCATGGGGACTACTGGGAGAAGTACCTGAAAACAGGAGTAAAGCAAATGTCACTCCTGTGTTCAAGAAGGAGCACCTTGGGTACTGCAGGCTGGGCAGCATCACCTTGTTCCCTCGTAAGGTGATGGAGTAGCTAATGCTGGAAACAATTTCCAGGAATCTGAAGGCTGGGAAAGTCATGAGGAGCAGTCAGGCTGGATTCAGTCATGCTTGACCAGTTTGAAAAACTCCTACAATGAAATAAGTGGCCTGGTATATGAAGGAATTTCACTAAGGCTTTCAAAACTGTCTCCCATAAAATCCTCACCAAGACACTGTTGAATTATGGGCTGGATAAGGAGGTGGAGTGAAAACAGGCTGAACAGTGAGTCCTGAAAGGAGGTGATGAGTGGTACAAAGACTGGTTGAAGGTCAGTAACTAGAGGTGTACCCCCAGGATCAGTACTGGGTCCAATCCTGTGTCACATCTTCCTTAATGATCTGGATGATGGGGCAGGTTTGTACCCACCAAACTGGGAGGTGGAGCTGATACACCAGAGTGTTGTTCTGCCATCCAGAGGGACCTGGACAGACTGGAGAAAGGGGCTTGCACCTGGAGAAGAAGAAGCCTGAGCACCGATAAATGCTGGGGGCTGTCCAGCTGGAAAGCAACCTGATAGAAAGGGATCTGCAGACCCTGGTGGACACCAAGGGATGAACATGCATCAGCAACGTGCTCCTCCAGTAGAGAATGCAAATGGCATACTGGGCTGCATTAGAAGGAGTGTTGCAGCAGGCTGAGGGAGATCATCTGTACCCTCTGTTCAGCACTGGTGGGGCCACACCTAGAGTGCTGGTCCAGGGCTAGGCTTCCCAGAACAGGACAAACATGGACATACTGGGGAGAGTCCCCTCAAAGGTCAACAAGATGACAGAGACAATGGAGCATCTCTCCTATGAGGAAATGCTGAATGAACTCGAACTGTTCATCCTGGAGAAGTACAGGCTCAGGGAGATCTAACCAATGTATATAAACATCTGCAGAGGGTACAAAGAACACAGAGGCCAGGCTCTTTCCTGTAACAGGACCAGAGATGATGGCCACACACTTAAACACAGGAAATTCCTCCTGAACATCAGGAAACATTTTCAGTTGTGAGGGTGACTGACCACTGGCACAGGATGCCCAGGGAGGTGGCAGCATCTTCATCCCTGGAGATATGCAAAAGCCATCTGGACGTGGTTCTGCTTGAGCTGGGCGGTTGGACCAGAGGACATTCAAAAGTCCCTGCACATGTCAGCCGTTCTTTGACTCTATGTTTTTAACTCTTTGTTTTAAATCATTTAGCAGTGTTACTACCTTAGAGCCTATTTGTAAATATTTACAAATTACACACTAGTACCATGTAGAAGAGGAAGAGTTCTGAAATGTCAATAAAGGTAATGAAAAAAAAATCAAAGTCCTGAAATCCTGCTCATAGTTATTTGCTATTTTAAGCAAAGCCTTTTGATTATTTTATAAAAGACAAATGTGGCTTCCAACACTCAAATAGCTTACCATTCTCTACCATAATTGCTCAATCTTTCTATGAACTGCTTTAATACAGAAGATGGAATGATATGGTTTTTTCTGGCAGTTTAGAATATTTATACTTGCATGAGTCTAATCTTAAATAATTCATTCTGGTCAAGCCTCTGCTTTGCACAGCAGTAAATCTCTCTTCTCCATCTTACCTGTTGGTCCTGCAACAGTGAAAGTTAGCATACTGTAAGTCTGCCATCCTTTAAGTTACTGGTCAGTATATTCCTTTGATCAAAAGGCCGATATAGCACTCTACTCCTCCCAGAGAGCTCCATTCAGCAATTTAGAAAATCTCATATTAATTTTCATGATGCTGTTACACAACTTGTATTGTTATTTCTTTGCTGTTTTATACTGTATGCACTACATCCTTATGGATCTACACAGCACTTCTTTCACTCCCTATAAATATTTACCTTTCTCAACTTGTTCTCGTGCTTGCTGATTGGTCATTCCAGGGTATGGACATACTCCTAAACTGAATGTCTCCCACAAAAGGATTCCAAAGCTCCATACATCACTCTCAGATGTGTATCTCCCTAAGAAAAGGAAAGCAAACCCTCAGCTTAACTTACAGAGAAATAAATATTTCAGATAATTATAGCCCAAAATTTTCTGTGGAGGTAAAGTGTTACATTGGCAAGCTTCAAGCATAACAAAGCTGTAACTACTAATATACATTTTGCAGACAACAGTCTCCAGTATCAAATTATCAATCAAATTATCTTAAAGACAATACCTAGGAATAATGTAAGGTAACTTAAAGTTCTACTGTTAAACAGATCTTAGCATGTCAGTTATTTTCATGCAAGTTAAGAATTTATTTTCTTCCTAATGTACAAAAATTTCTTTTAATATAAAAGGACAGAAAAATGCTAGGTTTCCCCCCCTCGTTTATGCTTTTAAAAAATTACCTTTCCCAGTTCTTTAATTTCACATAGCAATGAGTATTCTCAGAGGAGCTACCCCCAACACAGTTTGTAAGCACGAGGAAGGCCTGGTTCTCATGCTCTGAAAATGAAAGTATGGCTGGACCCTGAAGAACTGATGTACCCAATTGCTTAAAGGAAAAAAAAAAGTGGCCTGCTGGTTCCATTACTTTCAACTATGCCTCTGAGATAAGAAAACAGATAATTGATAGATAATTGAATTCCAAACCTCCTTATAGAATGACAGCTTTCTATTACAGGAAAAGGAGAGATCTTGAAGCAGATCTTTCTGTTGTCCCTGATGGATTCACATTAAGAAGGATGGATTCACATCAGAAAGTTAAGGCTCCTAGCCCTTTGCAGCAGGATCAGGGAAAATGTTACCTTAAAAATCCATTTTCAACATTTTTCATGACTGTTCTTTGTTCCATACTATTACTACTATTACTTTGTATATATGCGCTTTTATTCTTAAAAATATCTGCTTGTGAGTGTATTGTTTGTTTATCTCTAATCATCCAACAACCCAACTAAACTACTTCTGACTAGAAAAAAACAGAAAATACATGCAAATTACAGTGACAGTTAATGACAACTGTTCTGACGTCAGAAAATTCAGTTTACTATTAAGACTAAATATCACTTCCAGCTGTGCCACGTTGGCTTGTGTGCCTAATAGATGGCAATTACAGACATTCATTATGCTCTTTGTAATAAGATTAGTTTTCTTGTCTATGTATCAACTCCCCACACTTTGACAGTCAGTAATCTAACAATTTTCACTGACAGCATTCAGCAGATACAAGATAGGTGATTAGGGTGTTTTTTTAAAGAAAGTGCAAGTTCTGCACAGTTAATTATATTTTCCACTATTACATTATCTGGGAGAAAAAAAAAAAAAAAAAAAAAAGGTCTGTTCAGGAAAAAAACCCACTCAACCCTCCACACATTAATATTAACATCACAAGCAGTAGCTGCAAGTAATGGAAATTATACAGCTCCAAGCAAAAATAATGGTATGGAATGAATAGGCACGACCAGAACCCACTAAACCAAAGGTTCCATCTCTCAAAAACTCCAACAGCATCGGACCTTTGCTTATGACATTTGACACAATGCCCTGCCCTAATCACTCCATTTGCCCTAATCTGGTTTCTAGACTCCACAACTTGTGTTTTTTCTTAATTTAAAACCTTTTAATGACTGCTTTAGTGCCAAAAAAAATAGCACCCAAACTTGTTTGCAGTTTCTTGAGCACTTTAGCATTCATGTAATGGTTAAATGGCCCTTTTCCTATTTTCTTCCAACCCTTAAATCCTGACATTAAGGACAGACATGTCCAGTGGATGCCACCTAGTTTTGAAATACTGCACATTCATTTCTATTCTGATACCTTAAATACCTTCAGTCTTACCTACACAAATCAATGCAATCCTTATGACCATATTATTAGGTTGGAAGACAATAAAACGCAATTCAATTAGTTTTATTCGCATCTTTCCCAGAAGCCTTTTATGACATTTTGAAAGTTGAATATTACACTCCTGAACACATTAACAGATGTTTCAGAGAGAGCTTGTTTTCCAAACACTACGGAAAATGACTTATAGCTGCTTGAATATGTATGTCTTTTAGGAAACATGAAATAAGTATGAAGGATAGCTTTCCATAATATATGGAATACACTGTATGCATTTCTGAAACAACAAAAATAAAAATTCAAAACACCTTTCATAGTCGATCAAACACCCCAAAAAAAAAGTGTTTCACCAGTGAATGTTAGCAACACTGAGACCTCTGAGAGTAATTAGTAATATAGGATCAATTACTGTAAATAAGTTTATTATTATACTGTAACTAAATTTATTATTAGCCTTTCAAAGGGATGATCTGCTTTATTGTGTTATGTCATTAACTCCTGCAAAAGTGTTAATAGAGGAAGCATTTTGCTATAAATCACAATTCAAAAACTTATTATTTCCAATGCATGATTTCTGAAAAAGGGCTTTAAGAGCTGGCAGAAACATTTACAGACACTTCAAATAAAGAATTTAAAAATATTTTTTTCTAAGTACTCAACTAAAGAATTGGTTGAGAGAAGTACATTCAAAACATGTCATCATTTATTTTAATGTGTTGCTTCTTCACAGCCCACTTTATCTAGAAGAACTTATTCTTCTAGATTCACATAAGCTAAATGCTAAATTCAAATAAGCTAAAAGTATGGACACTTCACTCAGTAAGAAATAACTTTTACACCAAGATAACAGCTCAGAAATATACAAAAATGCAGGTAAAGAAAAGATGCAGTTAAAAAAAATATATAAATTAGTGACTGTACTTCTCACCAATGCAATGAATTATCTAACAGTGTTTTAATACATTAACACTTTCTACCATTTTCAGTGAGGTGCTAGAACACTCACTGCAATAAATATGCAGAACTTGCCATTGGTTTTCCTAACGATCATGATTTAGATGGCTGATGAGTCTGTCTATAGAATGAGTCAGCAACATAAACACAGCACTATGCTATTGCTGCATAACAGCAATTCTGATGTTACAGCCTCATTTTTCTTGAAGGCAAACCAGTGTTTCTTACATAAATAAGACTGAAAAACTAAAATTATTTTAAACATCATTAATTTTGAACTAGGGACTAGGAATATATACATATGTACTCAAAATATTGCCCATGGTGTGGTCCTGGTGCTCCTTACTCTACCTTAGATTTTATTTTTTTTTTTGCAAGAAGATACAAGTTATGTCCTTACCATAGTTCAGAGCTTCTGGAGCAGTCCACTTGATAGGAATCTGCTTTAGGCCTGATGATGAGTACACGCCATCATCCTCCTGCCGGGACATTCCAAAATCGCTTATTTTCAAGATGTTGCTTTCACCTACCAAGCAGTTCCTTGCAGCCAGGTCTCTGAGTTAGAAAAAGAAATAAACACTCACATTTTTACATGTTTGAAAGTACTTGAAGCAATTTAAAATGGCTGAGCCCCTCAGCCAGGATGGTGGCACTTCTCTGACAACTTTTTACAATGGGGTAAAAAAACACTTCACAGCAGCAGTGGAAAACACGAGTGATGGAGAGGGAAAAGAGTAAGAAATAATCCTGTGAACACCACAGTCACTGAAGAAGTGGGGGCGGGAGATGCTGCAGACACTCCTGGTGCCTCAGCAGAGACTCCTCTGCAGTCAACAGGGAGGACCCAGAATGGAGCAGCAGAAGAGTGTGAGGGGGAAAGAGAAGGATAGAAGTGCACTTATGGACTGATCATAATCTCCACTCCCCATCTACCCCTGAGGGGAGGAGGTGGAGGATTCCAGAATGAAGAAGTGCCTCAGAAGAGCGGAGGAGCGGGGGGCAAAAGGTATTTCAGTTTTTGTCTTTATTTCTCACCATCCAACTCTATCACAATTTGTAATATATTAAATTTATGTTACCCAAGTTCAATCTGTTTTGCTGTGATGGTAATTAGTAGGTGATTTCTCTGTCTTTATCTTGACCTACAGCTTTTTTGTCTTGTTTGCTCCACTGTCCTGTTGAGGAGGGGGAGTAAGAAAACAGCTGGATGTGTGTCTGGCAGCCAGTCAAAGTCAGCTCACCATAGCTACCCTCTGTGGTCACAGATATAAACCCACAGATTAACAAATCAGATCTTATGCAAAATGAAACAAGAGTTGAAAAAGCATCCTTAAATGTGTTCCAATACTTACGGAAGACAGTGAGAAAACAGGGAAATGGCTCCATCTTCTCTCTGCCCATCTTACCTTAGCCTTAGAGTTTCCATCAAAAATAAAAAGCTACTCAGCACAGGAAAAGACCTACTGTGGCTTTTCTACATGCATTATAAACATACTAAATGCAAAATATTTTAAAACTAAATTTACTCTGTTTGCTTTTAGCTTAAATAGCTAATATGGTCACAAATGGCTTGTCTTAAGTGAATATTCCAGAAAAACTACATTAAGTTTAATGTTTTGGACTGGAGCTGTAGCAGAGTTTTGAAGTGAATCCCCTAAGCAGTTAATGCACATCCCTTGGTTTTTGAAGAATGACTTTGGTGCATACGAACTAGATTGTTCTTGGAAGAAACTAACTTAGAATTCTGGCCATGATGTGTACAAAATTTGCTTCTATAGCTAATGTAGAAGGAAAGGTCTAAACCAATGACAGACAGCTTCAAACACTATCCATTGTGGGGACATTAATGACAAAGGACTGAACTATCTTTAGTCTAAAGTAAAAGCCTTGAGCCATATATAAGGGTGCTAAAGCTCGTACAATTCCTTTGATCAGCTCATCCATATTGATACTGGACTACATTATTTGATCTGAAGACAGAGCCTGTGCATGAGCCTAAATACTATAACTTAAGAATTTTAACATATTTGACTCACACAGCTTTTCTGCCACTAAGGACGTTTATGACACTTGAGCTTGATGCTACAGTGATATAAACGAAGTTATTCTTGCAGTTTGAGAA